TTTGTCTCTATCACTGCAATTAAACCTCAAAATTTCATTGTCATGTAGATACCATAAGTACATCTTGAACTGTAATGTGCATATACATCTCCTGGGGATCTAGTGAAAATTCAGACTGAGATTCAGAGAGTCTGAGGTGAGGCTGAGATTCTACACTACTAATAAATACTTCAGTGATGCTGCTGCCACTGGCTGGGCTCACACTCTGTGTGGCAAAGAGCCTCTTATGTTTTCTCATTTCATTAATAAAAAAACTAAGGCACATAAAGGATCTAAAATGTGCCCAAATTTACACAGCTAAATGCGTGGTAGAGTCAGAATTTTAACTCAGTCTATGTGGCTTCTGGACTACCAATGAGTAGGTTTATCTAGGCTCATAATGGGACAAAAGCATTCTTGGCTACAAAATTAGTATAATCGAAATAATGACAACATGACAATGTTCAACAAATACAGGTTAATATATATATAGGTTAATTTGACTAGAGAGCAAAGAAAGAGAAGAAAGAAACTATGTACTATGATTAGGTCTGGGTAAATACATTGAGTGTCTCAGATTCTTTTACTAGAGGGCTTCACCATCACCTACCTTCTGAACCTGTGTTATTTCAGCTTTTACTGAGAATATTAGCTTGTTCGCTTTCCAAGAGCCTCTATCCTACGTGTTTGGCCTTTGAAGTAGATAGATTTAAATATTTACCATCCCTCTTCTTTCTTCTCAGGACAGAAAGTTGAAAAACAGAGGGCTGTTCTCTGTCACATTTCACATTCTGGCATAATTTCATCAGCAGGGAGTTGTCCACCTGTGTATGAATTAGATTGTCCTCAGAGAGAGGAGAAAGCAGGTACTATGGTGGTGAGATTGCTCAGAACATCCAACCTATGCTTGGTCAACTATTTAGGATCAGGCCAGGTGGTGCACTAAGTTTATAGCACAAGAGTGGGCATGATGTCAGAGGTCACTGAGCCCTTGTCTTTCTTGTCAAATCTGTCACATGACATTAATCCTAGTCACTGCTTATCAAACACCCACAATGTATTAGGTTTTCTGCTGCACACTTTACACATATTATCTCTTGTTTTCCACACAAATTCTACAAATTAGATTTGCTTTCTATTTTTGCTGATGATAAAACTGAAGGTATGAGTAACTCAATTCCTAGTCCAATGTCACAGAGCTAGTGAGAATCAGAGCTGGAACGCAAATCGCATTAGCCTGGTTCCAAAGCCCCTATTCTTACCACCAACCCCTTCCTGCTACTTTTGTTCCTTACCCTGTCCGTGAATACATGGCTTAGGAGCAGCGCTTCAACGTAAATGTCCCTCAGCATGTGATTATGTGGGGCAAGAGTTATTTCTCCATTGCCTATAGAGTGCACTTAATGCTCTCGTTTTGCTGGACTGAAAATGCTACCATTTAGGGGAAGAGATCATCAGTATTTCACCAAATGCTGTTAACATGCTTGAACTTGCTTTAGAGGAGCCAATTCTAAGATTCATTATCACAAACAAATGGAAACAAATTAGGGGGCTGGCAGTGTCTGATGGGAAAAAAATCAGTTTTCATAAGCAGTCCTCAGAATCTGAGGTCTGGAGGGCACCCTACTCTTTGCATGGGGCCCATGCAAAGTCTGCAGAGGAAAATCACACCATCTTTCCACCATCTGAGCTGTGAGTAAAGTTACCAAATCTTAATCTACAAGGGCAGACTTTGAGGCTTGTCAGTATCCTCCCAGAGCAACCTGGTAAGTAATATTCATCATATTAACAAGTTACTTACTTTTAGGTGAATTTATTGTTTTTTCTGCTTCATGAAACCTAGTAAGAAACATTCATGTGGAAAAGTGAATATTTAGGGGAGATTATGAGAGATCAGAAAACAAAGCACTATGGTTTCTATTTAAACAACTGATTTAGCTGTTACTAAATAATCCCTTCAGACCTTAGCAGATGCTTTAGGAAGTATTTTAGATACTTTGTTTCATTTTATCAACATAAGAACTTTAAGAAGTATATGTTAGCTTCCTTTCTTAAAGGATGTGCACAGTCTTTTGAAATTACACAATGAGTGAAGGGCTTAATTCTAACCAATATCTGCCTGTCTCAAGGATTCAGAGACTCCTCCACTGCTTCCAAGTGGCCTCTAGAGTCTAGAGGAGACCAAGTTAGAAGTTTGCTTACTGTCAAGAACATATACCAAAAAAATGTGTTTCTTCTGACAGGAAATATTCCAAATCAAAACCAAATTTTAACACCTGCAGTAATGTTTACAGACTGAAGAGCTTGTGAGGAAAAGACAATCTGTCCTATAAAACTAAGTTATTTTACCATTTTCTATGGTAAGAGACAAATATTTTTGCAAGTTAATAGCCAGTAGAGAACTATTTAAAAGTACTCTGATTTCAGTGAAATCAGGTCTTTTCATCATGTTGGGATGTCCATGCCCACGTCAGCTTTGCCATAGCAGAGCCCACCCCGAGATAAGAAAGAAGACCAAAGGCCTTAAAAAGTTTGGCAGCCTTAATCAGAGAAAAATCTCTTTGTTTAATAATCACAAGTCATCTGATTAAGTGCTCTCTCCCCATGACACCAACATTTTCATGTTGAGGTTCAGGGCTGAGTTGTCTCCACACTAATTTGTTGGAAAACAGACTGTGATTAGAGCGCTTAAAAGTGATAGGAGAATACGGCAGAAGAGGCTAGTGCTAAATTGGTTTCCTACAGAAAGGAATCTTTCTTTATAAGCCAGCTGTGATGCCCAGGGAGCTACATATCTGATCTTTTCACATGGGAAACTTGAAAGAGAAACAGATGGGAGAACCAATTAAATAGTTTAGGTTTGGCCATGGAGAGACCACCATAACTCTTAATGCCAAGGCGGTCTAACCACAGTCGAGCACGTTTCTCTTGATATGTTTTACTCCTACATAATGCTAAGCCTAAGAACTAGCAGGCATGCAGCTTTGCTAACTAACTGTCTGACATTCCAGTCATTAATCAACTGATTATTAATGATCATTGAAACACATCTTCCAACTCCTCTATATCACTATAAAACTATTGCCATAACTATAAAAGTTATGGCAATAACTTTAATATGCAAATGTGAACATGCTACTTTCCTATATAAGATTCACTTATGATACTTCATCTTCCACGTGGTAAAATCTAAAACAACAGGCTTCACAAAGAAAATCCTTCATGACCTTACTCTGCCTAGGTGCCTATCTTATTTTTCTACTATCCTTACATTTTAGCTGAACCCAACTCCTTATAGTTCACTGAACTTCTGTGCTTAAAATGCATCTCCAAGCTTGTCCACCTAGAAAGCTTTTGTAAGTTTTTGTAAAACCTTAATATTTCAGTTTAAACACTTCTTGCCTATAACACCATCCCTTAGGCCCCTAAAGAGATTTCGTTTCTTATTCCTAATGGGCTCGTGGAAGCTTTATAGCAATTATCATAGTGCATTGCCATTTGGTGATGCTTACTTTTCTGTTTCCCGTGGTCTACTGATAATTATTTGACAGTAGAGATCTTGTTTTTCATTTTATTACAAATATGCCAGGAATCTCAGTGCCTAATGTAAAACCTAGAACAGTGGAGGTATTCAGTACATGAATAGATGAAAGGGATGTGTATCTTTGGATCTCATCTCCCATCTACTTCTCCATTAAACCATGTGGCCTATTTTAGGAATGACATTTCTCATTAAATGTATGATGTTTTATGTTTAGGTAGCAGAAGCAAGAAAAGGATAAGCATGTTTCCTAAAGGAAACATCAATTTAATGAGAAATGTCATTACTTATACTGCAGCACTACATACTCTATCCTTCATTGCAGTAAAAATATCTGCCTTTACCCTATTATCTTTAGCCATCAACCACCAAAAAAAAAAAAAAAAAAAAAAAAAAAAAAAAACTAGACTAACAGAGCTCAAAGGTACAAAAGGGCTCAGACGTATGTCAGCAATTTGAGTAGCTGACATTATTTCTGCTGCTTATATTGAAGCACAACACACATTTTCTGGATGCTTGGGCAATCTCTCTGTCATCTTGTTTTAACCTTATCCTTTTCCTGTTCTTAGACAGGACAAAGAAGGTGGGACAAATATGTTCTCTTCCTCTGGCTAATCTTATTACCCCACCCACTTTCACCTGAGATGAAACCTGGGCTGCAGCACATGTGGAAACATCCCTGGAACTGTAGCCAGAGTGGAAAAGGCTAATAAAGGTTATGAAGCTGGAGCCAGGCATTAGATATGTGTTATTTCCTCCATGTGAATCACAAATCCTTTCAGTCCAGAAACTGATAAATTAAATCTGTTAAATTATGAACTAGTTTGACACACATGGACTTCGCACCTAGTGTGTGCCACATGTTAAATGGACGCTGAGGGTATAAAAACTGAAAACATGGTCCTTAAGCTGGTGGGTTCCAGTAGCTGCAAAGCTGGTGAGCCAGACTAGAGGGTAGGAGCTGAAACAAAATGAATTCACAGATCAAAGCATCTCAGAGAAATATCAGACGAGTAATACATTTTATAAAATTATGTCTCTAAAGCCAGCAGTAAGATCTTACGGTGATTAGATAAATCATTTCAAAAGGCATTCAATGTTTACTGGTGTGTCCACATTTCTTTTTCCTTTCTTCCAACCATCACAGATTTTTATCTACATAAAAAGATTTTCTTCTCAGTGATGGCTGCTCTGTCAGTAGATAAACATAAACAGAACATAATGGAGGAAAAAATAAATAAAAGTGGAAAAAGTAAAATGCAGACCACATGGGTAATTTAGTTATCGCAAATTCGAGCACTTTGTTCTCCCCAAACAGAGAAGAAATCCAAGAATCCCAGCAAGAACTGTCAATGAAGGAAAATAGCATTTATTACCAAAACATTTTAAATTTACAAAATATTTTTTACTTTATGTTTAATTTGTATAATCTCTCTGCATGTTTATCTTTCTTAACCTCTCGCTTCAGGAAACTCACAGGTCCATGGAGGGATTGTCTCACTGCATACAAAGGCAGAAGACGGGAACTCTGTGATGGCTCCAAAGTGCGAAGTTGTGCTATGGAAGTTTCCAGGGAGGGAAAATGATTAGCATGTCGTTCTGTATTGAATTGTGTCCTCACAAAATTCACATGTTGAAGTCCTATCCCCAACGTAGTACCTCAGAATGTGACCTTCTTTGAAAATAGGGTCTCTGCAGAGATAGTTAAGACAAGGTCATTAGGACCGGCTCTAATCCAATATAAACATGTTTTTAATAGGTTGGTGCAAAAGTAGTTGCTGTCTTTGCCATTGAAAGTCACAATGGCAAATTTAGTCACAAGGACACACACACTTAGGGAGAATACCTTGTGAAGGTAAAGACAAAGAATACGGTGATGATTTTTGTGCTTAACATTGCCAGCAACCCAACAGACCCTAGGAGAGAGGCAGTCAACAGAATACTCTGCACAGCCCTAGGACGGAGCCAAACCTATTGACACTTTGCTCTTGGACTTCTAGACTCCAGAACTGTGAGACGATATATTTCTGCCATTTAAGCCACCCAGTTTCTGGTACTTAAATACAGCAGCCCCAGCAAACTAATACAGGCAAACCTTGGCAATATTGCAGGTTAAGTTTTAGGTCACTGCAATAAAGCCAGCCACACAATTTTTTTGGTTTCCTGACACATATAAAAGTTATGTGAACGCTATGCTAGAGTCTATTAAATATGTAATAGTATTACCTCTTTAAACACAAACTACATACCTTTATTAATAAATACTTTATTGCTAAAAAATAAAGATTGCCAACAAGCATCTGAACATTCTGTGACTCATAATCTCTTTGCTGATCGAGAGCCTTGCCTGTATGTTGATGGTTGCTGACTGATCAGCGTGGTGGTTGCTGAAGGCTGAGGTGGCCGTGCAATTTCTTAAAGAAAGACAGCAGTGATGTTTGCTGCACAGACTTTCACGAAAGATTTCTATGTCACATGCAATGCTGCTTTACAGCATTTTACACACAAGAGATCTTATTTCAAAAATGAAGTCTGTTGTTTGTCAAACATTGCTACTGCTTTATCAACTAAATTCATGTAATATTCTGAATACTTTATTGTCTTTTCAACAGTGTTTATAGCGTCTTCAACAGGAGTAGATATTATCTCAAGGAACCACTTTGTTTGCTCATCCATAAGAAGTAGCTCCTCATTCATTCAAATTTTTCCATAAGATCATAGAAATTCAGTCACGTCTTCAGGCTCCACATTTAATTCTACTTCTCTTGCTATTTCCACCACATCTGCAGTTACTTCCTCTACTGAATTCTTGAGCCCCTCAATAATCAGGATTGGAATTAACTTTTTCCAAACTCCTATTAATGTTGATATTTGACCTTCTCCCATGAATCATGAATGCTTTTAATGGCATCTAGATTGCTGAATTCTTTCCAGAAGACTTTCACTTTACTTTGCCCAGATCTATAAGCAGAATCATCATCTTTGAAAGCTATAGCCTTACAAAATATATTTCTTAAATAATAAGACTTAGAAGTCAAAATTATTCCTTAATCCATGGGTTGTAGAATGAATGTGGTGTTTGCAGGCATGAAAACCACCACCATACAAGAGTAACATCAAAAATCACTGATCATTGGGCTGGGCACGGTGACTCATGCCTATAAGCCCAACACTGTGGGAGGCCAAGGTGAGTGGATCACTTGAACTCAGGAGGTCCAGAGCAGCCTGGGCAACATGACAAAACACCGTCTTTGAAAAAACCAAATTAAACATGCCTACAGTCCTAGCTTTTTGAGAGACTGAGGTGGGAGGATCACCTGAGTCCAAAGAGGTCGAAGCTACAGTGAGCCATGATCACACCACTGCACTCCAGCCTGGGTAACAGAGTGAGACCCCCTCTCAAAAAAAGAAAAAAAGGTCACTCATCACAGATCACCATAACATAATAATAATAAAAATGTCTGAAAGATTATGATAATTTTGAATTACCACACTGTGACACAGAAATGCAAAGTGAGCACCTGCTGCTGGAAAATGGTGCCGACAGACTTGCTCAATGCAGGGTTGCCAAGAACCTTCAATTCGTTTTTTTAAAAAAAAGTGCAATAAAGCAAAGCACAATAAAATAAGGTATGCCTGTACACACATTCTTTATGTCTCCATATTCTGGGTGTGCTTTTTCTCCTTACCATCTTGACATCTTCTTAGCTCCTTAACATTTCCATCTCTACTGATTGACAGAAATTGTTTTTCTAAAGACACTACCCAATGGGGCTGTAATCCACAAACTCACTGGAAGGACCTTTCCTTTCCTCCTCCTCTTTGACCCTTCATAGCATGTGACTCTGCTGACTGTCTGACCCCTGCCACAGCTGGAGAGGTGGGCAAGCGGCAGGCCTCTTTGATGGGGTCCTTAGAGCTGGAGACTTAGTGCCAACTTCCAGGATAAATGTCAAAATTATGTCAAAAGGTGACTGCTGAGTTTGAAAAACGTTCTCATTAAAGGATCATTTTTCGGTAAGGGTGAGAGGCCAAGCGTTGAAGAAAATAAACCAGACTTTCTCACCCTCGATTCTATTGATATTTCAGACCAAATAATTCTTTATTTTGTAAAATTACACACACACACACACACATGCACACTTGTAATTCTTTGCCTCATAGGATGCTTAGCAGCATTCCTGCCCCCAACATACATCTGCAGTTCTGGCAACCAAAAATGACCACTGATGGGAGCAGGGGCTTGGTGCAAAATCAGTCCAGTTTACTAATGGCTAAAACTACAATGCCAAGGCAAGCAGACAAGCAGAAGGCAAAGAACTCCAGCACGCTTGAGCCAGGAGAACAGGCTTCAGTGGGTAGAGAGAAGGGGGCTGAACTAATTCTAAAGAGACACAGGTGGGCAGGAAGAGGCTTTGCCTATGCCTCTGGGCCTCTGCTCATGTCTTTTTCTGACTTGAACACTCTCTCTTATAAATCCAGTTAACCACTAAATGTCCTTCAAGGCACTGTATTAGCCAGAGTTCTCTAAGGGACAGAGTTAATAGGATATATGTGTATATGAAGGGGAGTTTATTAAGAAGTGTTGACTCACACAATCACAAAGTTAAGTCCCACAATAGGCCATCTGCAAGCTGAGGAGCAAGGAAGCCAGTCTGAGTCCCAAAACCTCAAAGGTAGGGAAGTCAACAATGCAGCCTTCAGCCTGTGGCCAAAGGCCCAAGAGCCACTGTCAAACCACTGGTGTAAAGCCCAAGAATCCAAAAGCTGAAGAACTTGGAGTCTGATGTTCTAGGGTAGGAAGCATCTAGCATGGGAGGAAGACAAAGTCCTAAAGACTCAGCAAGTCAGGCCCTTCCACCTTCTTCTGCCTGCTTTATTCTAGCCGCACTGATAGCTCATTAGATGGTGCCCACCCAGATTGAGGGTCGGTCTGCCTCTGCCAGTCCACTGACTCAAATGTTAACCTCCTTTGGCAACACACTCACAGACATGTCCAGGAGCAATACTTTGCTTCAATCAAGCTGATACTCAATATTAACCATCACAGCCACTTTTCCAAAAAACTGGCCCTGACAACGTCATGACTCAGATGTCCTTGAATTCCACCAGCTTGGTCTATCTGTGCCCCTTTTTGGACAAGGTGGTCATCTTAAGCTGTTAAACTGTCCAGGTGTGGAACTTCCTCCTCAGTTGCGCTATAGCTTTTGCAAGGTGAGGTGGTTTTGGTATTGCCCATAAGGTCTTGAGCATCAGGGATGTTCTCAACATCTTTGAGTAAGGAATGAATGGCATGATTATGAGTGGTGGGAGTGCTTAGTGAAGCATAGAGAAGCCTCTGAGCCGCTTTCTTCTGAATTTGTAGTATGCTGCCTTTCGGAGGAGATGTAAAACTGCCTGGGGTGGAGTTCCTCAGGCGAGAGTTAGCTGAGAAGCAGCAATAAGACCCTCAGACTCAAGGTACCACAACACCTCCTTTATCTCATCTGCAGTGAATGCCACAACACCATTGTGGCAATCTGTATGTTTTTAGAACAGCTGAAGACCAGAGTATTCATCCATATAAAAGTGTCTGTTGTCTGTTTGTTTGTTTTGAGGGATGTAGAACTTGAGTTCTATAGGAATCCAGCAGGCACACATCACAGAGCATAGATTCTACACAAGAATCTATGACACTGCTTGGTACATAGATTTTCACTGTGTCATCAGTACTTCCCTAAAGCAACCAATCCTCAACCCATAGCAAAGACTGGAAAATGCCAGAAACATTGGTTACCCAGACACAGCAGACTGTACCATTGAGTCTGACTTTAGGAAAATTCTTATATACATTATAAGAAAGGTCCATCCTCATTTCGACCTCAGGTCCCCCTCCCACTGCTCTGAACCCTGCAGCCAGCTATATGCTTAACCACTCACTTCTCCCCAGACAAACTCATCCTCTTTATACATCTTTCTCTGTGTTGTTTCCCTGGAAAACATCCACTTACCCTTTGAGCCTGACCTCAAAAGTGATTTCCTCATTGAAAATTTTCCTGAGTCCTGCAAACAGAGTCAATTCCTCATTGTCCTGGGCAACTGCTGTCCCTTGCACCTACCTCCATGATGAACACATTCACCTATTTTTTAATCCTTTTATCTGTTGCTTTCTCATCATTCCTTAAATCCTGACCAAATAACATTGCTTCACTCATCTATGTAAACATCTCTGGCATAGGCCATGCTATACTAGGGGTGGTTCTAACACATCTGTGCTTTCTATCATAAATAATGACCTGCCACTGGAGAAAACATTTCAGGCTGTATAGGTAAAAACTCCTAAAGAAAGCTGACATTAACTTAAAGATTTTATCATCTCTCATATCCCCAGTTTTCATGGCATCAATAAATGTATTTGTGAAATTTTTACAGTCATAGTATTTACCCTGAAATGATGGATTACCATTCATTTGACTCTAGTGTGGATGGACTGTTGGAATTACTTTAAAAATTATTCTAAAAATTATTCATTAAAACTGGTGTATGGCATATCAATCTTCTCTCAAAAAAGAATTCCTTATTATAGAACGAGTGGAAAGATTCTCATTTTAAATGAACGCATTTAAACTTCAGCACCTAGCTCTAAATATTCAAAGATTTGGCAGTCCCACTTGAAGTGTTTATACCTGTGTAGAATTTAAAAATTTCTTTTT